GTGGTTCACCTCACCTCTCACCCAGGAGATGAGCAGCAGGTTTGGTAAGCGACCAGGAGGTAGGCCAGCACACGGAAGGGCATGGTAACACCCTTAGCCAAACTGGGCCTGCCAGATTTTGCTAAGCTGAGTTACAAAGAACAACATGTTGGAAGGAGAATGGAAAGATAGGTGCTGGCCAAGGATAGAGTAAGAGGACTCCCAAAACAAGCTGGGCAGTGATGTCATCTCCTAGCTAAAAATAATGCAGCTTCCCTGGATACTCTCTGACACATCAGAAAAGAAACAGCAACAAACTGGAGGCTCCAATTCTTATGTGGAAGATAGTGCTAACAGCAGACAAGTCACATTGTAGGACTTTATCTGCATGGTCTTCCTTGTTTCTCACGACAGCCTTGTGAGGTAGGCACCATTGGGGTTACTGTGGTCTACAACATAAGAGGAAACTGGCCTTAGGGACAATAAGAATGGTCTTTAGATGGCTCTGGAATATGCAGGAAGATCAGTGTGGAGAAAAGGGACTGCAGGCCTTTCTCCTTCCCTGTGCATCTCTCTGCAGAATCATTTATGAATTCAACTCACTGAACACCCTCCCATGGCTGGGCACTCTCTTCTAGGCCTTGGGAACTTAGCAGAACACAGATTCTGGGCATTTTTCTTCCTTTGGCTAGGATGCAGTTATCCTTACTCCGAACTATGACCCAGACTGGACTTGCCTTAGTCTTCTCTGGCTGGAGCAGTGACCTCAAGCCATTTTTTGTGTTTTGTGCCAGAAACCTTGGTTGTTTCTTTATTGGTCACTTCCTGGAATGCACTGACCTATGCCAAGAATACAACATGCTTTCATATGATTGAGGTACAGGCAAGCAGCAGACTTGGACCAAATTTCAGCCATCTCTGAATTCTGATCTGCTTTTAAATGTTTCAGGCAGGCCACACAATTCCTTGTACATGTCAATCTGATGGCACACGGTTTCTCTTGAAGCAGAAAATGAGTCCAGCTGCTTTTGAGGCCAGTAACTAGGAAATTTTGGATCAACCTCTTTTCATTCCTTTCATGTACATCTTTTCTTTTGATGCCTCCATCTTTTGGAATATGTGTCTGAGGGGCAGAAATATACTAGGTATGTGTAGGGCTGTCCCACCAGCCTTCTCAAGCTTAAGATTGCCTCAATTCTTGTTTTGCATACAAACATACTCTTCTATTGACTATAGTAGAATTGTAGGACACTCCTTCACAGCTTCCAGAAGGAACAAACAGTGCTGACACCCTCATTTCAGATTTCTGACCCCACAAGTGAGAGAAAATAAATGTTTGTTTTTGTGGTGCTGGGGATCAAACCTTGAACCCCAAGGCCTCATGCATGCTAGGCAAGCACTCTACCATTAACCTATACCTTGAGTCCCAAATTTCTGTTGTTTTAAGCCACCTAGTTTGTCTCTCAAAAAAAAATGTAAGTTCAAGTTCAAATCCCTGGTACCTACGAGTTTGACTGTATTTTGAAACAACATCTTTGTAGGTGTAATAAAGGCAAAGATGTTCAAGATGACAACATTTTTTTTTTTTTCTGACGGTACTGGGCATTGTTCTTGATAAGCAGGAGATCTACCACTTGAGTCACTCCGCTAGCCGTATTTTGTGTTGGGCATTTTGAGATAGGGTCTCATGAATTATTTGCCCAGGCTGGCTTTGAACCATGATCCTCCTGATCTCTGCCGCCCAAGTAGCCAGGATTACAGGCATAAGCTACTGGAGCTCAGCCAAGATGACAACATTCTTGACTAGGGCCGGTCCTAACTGGGGTAGATTTGGTCCCAATGAGGAGTGACAGGTGGGAGAAGGCCATGTGAAGACAAGAGGCTGAGAACGGAATTACGCTGCTTCCAAGCTAAACAACACCAAGGATGGCTAGTAGCCACCAGAGAAAGGAGAGAAGCATGCATCTTCCCTCAAAGCCTCTAGAAGGACTCAACCCTGCTAACACCTTGGTTTTAGAGTTTCTGGCATGAGGAATGTGAGAGAATAACTTTCTGTTGCTTTAAGCCACCAAATTTGTGGTCATTTGTTACAGTAGCCATAGGAACACATATACAAACTGGATTCCCTTCTTCCCTCTGAGCAAGTACAACCATATACAACTCGACTTGAGAAAGGTCTTTAGCAGTAGTTCTCAGATGATAGTGTAAGTATGAGGGAGACACCTGTGAGTGCCCACCCAGAAGGTGTTTGCTCATCAGTAGAGACCAGAGGTCCCTCGTGAGGTGCTGGGCTCTGTAGCCTCAGGGGTGGGATTTACGTCCTTATTCATATCACATCTGTCTGCTCTGATCTCAGCCCTTTCTTCCTGCTCCATCCATAGGTTGTTTTCTAGCTGTTTTTCAGCAATTTCTAGTTCTTCCTCTGTTTGTAAAGCAGCTACAGTTTCCCGGGGCAAGTTTGAGGAGTACAGCCCAAATTTGGCTTTATAACCAAACATTGCCTCATATGGACTCTGCTGTAAGGAAACATCAAAGGTCTGATTCCTCACCATCTGCATGAATCGTAGGCCTTCAGCCCAGTGACATGACTGGTTAGTCTGTGTCCAGGCGTCTATCATGTTCTTCACATCATGGCTTGCTTGTTCCAGGAAGCCCTGGCTTTGACCAGGGTGGTGCTTACCAGAGACAATCTTAAGGTCTGGCCATAACTTATTGAGTTCATTAACAACTTGGTTTGTGAACTCTATGCCACTGTCAGAATCTAACATACTTGGTGTACCAAGAATTGTGAAAATATCCAACAAGACATTGACCACCTCACGGGCTTGTTTGGCTTTTAATGGCCGTAAAATAATAAACTTGGTTAAATGGTCCTGGTAATATAAAATAAACTTGAACTTGCCATCGGAATTTGACTGCATGTCAAGTATTTCAACTTGGCATCTGGAATTCTTAAAAGTCATAGGGCTGGGTGCAAGTCCTCTCCTGAATAATGGATTCTTCTGGGGGCAGTTTTTACAAAGAGTCAGATATAAGACAATGACTTCTCTGGTGACATTTCCATATCTTCTTTTCAGTTCTGTGAGCATGCGTGTCTGTCCACCATGTCCCATACTGAGATGTGTATTGTGAAGAATATCAAACAACTCTTCTTTATATACATAATACCGTATTCCAGCTTGTTCTCCGTGAGTAGCTTTTATCAGTTTCTCTGTGCCCTGTACAGAGATCACATCATATTTTGCTGCACGGCGATAATCACGTACTGATTTCTTCTTCTTTTTCTTACCTTCTTTGACTTCCTTTAGTAATTTAAAGTACTTTTCTTTGGAAAATATCTTGCTGTTGTAACTTTTCTTTTCCACTAATTTTGTTACACTTGTAAGAAATTTTTCTCTCATGTTATATATCTCCATTTCCATTTTTTAAATATTTGAAACATTAAGTGGATAATTTCTACTTTTCTGTGGCATCATAGAGCATCAAAAGAAGGATGCTAAAAAAGGGAGTGAGAAAACAGAACAAAATTTGCTGATACTCCATCTGAAAGACATTTCTTCCCAAAGTTCCTCATCAATTCTTGCATCTGATTTTTCAAGACTATTACATGGAAGAAAAACAATACAGTAAGAATATAAAGCAACCAGAAAGCCAACTAGAACCACTGAAAAGTAGAGCATGTCAACTGAGCACTGGTGGTTCCTGCCTGCAATCCTAGCTATTTGGGAGGATCACAGTTGGAAGCCAGCTTAGCCACATAGTTCAAGAGACACCCTTCTCCAAAATAATCATAGCAAAATGGACTGAAGGTGTGGCTCAAGCAGCAGTATCTGCTTTGCAAGTGCAAAGTCCCGAGTTCAAACCCCATTCCACCAAAAAAAGAAAAAAATAGAAGAGTATGTTAATGGTAAGATCACAAATTTTAGACTTCAGATAAACAGAATAATGAAACCATTAGCTTATATACTGATATTTGGTTGTTTGTTTAGTATCTGATTCTTAGTACCTCCAAAAATAGGAGAATGATGCTGGAAGGTACCATATACTAACAGCAAACTCTTAAATGGAAGTAAGCACATGGGAGTGCTTTTTTTGGAGGTGCTGTTTTCTTTTCTTTTCTTTTTTTTTTGAGATAATATCTTTATTTATTCATTTTTATTACATTTACTCACATGTTTATACATTGTTTGGGCCACCCCCACCTTCGCCCCCTAGAGATGCTGGTTTGAACTCAGGGCCTCACTCTTGCTAGGCAGGTGCACTACAGGGAATGCTTTTTAACCTTCCTATAAATAGCATGAACAATCAATTTCTTATGGCTGAAGAGTTTGTCATTTTAGGGGACTCAAAGCCAGTTGGGGCAAACAGTTCCAGAGACCCTATCTTAAAAAAACCCATCACACACACACACACACACACACACACAGAAAGGCTTGGCTGAGTGGGCTAAAGCGATTAAGAGTGCCTGCCCAGCAAGCATGAGGCCCTGAATTCAAGCACCAGTGCTGCAAAAATCTCAGTCTTTAATATTACTATCATAAAATTCTAAAGCACAGTCTAAAAGCCACATTAGCTATTACATCTATTTTGGATCCATCCAGTGACTTTTTTTTTTTTTTTAAACTTGAATTGTTTATGAATTGGAAGATTTCGTCTTAGATATCCGAATATTCGATATGTTTTCCAAAGCAACATGAAAGAAATGAGGCCCTAAATAAATCAACTTTCTGGTGTGATCTGGGCTGGACTGGTGAGATGAGTGATAAAAGGCCTCGGGTAGAGAGCAAACTGCGTTCTCAGAGTCATGTTACTCCCTCCTCACTCCCCTGTGAGTCCTTGCTTTGACTCCTCCTGACCCGGAATGTCCTTGTCAGCCTCCTCCTTCTACCCGGCAACCGCAGCAGATTGTGTACACAACCCTGAATATAGGGGCTGAGACTTCTACCTGCATCCCCTGTCCATGGATACACAGCCGAGCACAAAAGGAGTTACAAGGAACATCTGTCAAACACATCACTTACAGGTACCTGGTTTTTAGCGAGGCCATGCAGCGATGCTGTTGTCCACTCTTGCGAATTCAGTATCTGACTCTTCCCACTTACTGTGCGGCGGAGGCAAAATTACTGTGACTGTTTTTCTTATCTACGACAAGGGGAAATACCAGTTATGCATCGCAATGCGCTGCTAGGAGTACTCAACGATACAGATAGCGTTCCCGCACCTTCCACGCCACACAAAAACTCGGCTTACTCACGAAGGCTGACGTGGGCTCACCTCGAGGCGCCTTCCGCATCCGGCCGGCCAATCATGTCTTCATCCACCTGGCTGAGGGCGGCTCAGGGCTGAATGAATGAGCCGGTAGGAGTGCGGGACAGGGCCGGAGACCACCCACCTGGGTGGCTGTGTGGGACACGGAGGGAGGCCGGGAAGGTGGAAGGGAATGCCAAGGGGCTTGCCAGGGGCCACCAGCTACCCGGAGCCCACTTTGCTTTCCGGCCCGAAGCTGCGAGCGCCCTTCGACTCCACCGGAAGTCAGCCGCGTGGAGCGGAAGTCCCGCCCCTAAGGAGCTCCTCCATCTGGAATTGAGCGCTGGGAAGGTAGTGCTCAACCAGGGCAGCGCTGCAGTTAGCGATCTCTAGGGCTAGCATAGGTGTGACCTTAGCTAAGCCAAGTCTGGTTACCCGTTTTCCACATTGCAAAACCTCCAAAAGAAATGCCTCCTGCGCATACTGCTGATGCAATTGCCAATTTCGTTCTGAGAACCCGCAATTTTAAGTCTGAATTTCATATTGCAAACCAAAGATTTGCTTGGTTTTGGTGTAATTAGTAATTATCCAGCATCAGTGGAGGAAAATAAGATGGTAAAAGGGTCCACATAGAGACCGCTCACTGTATGGGAACAGCTTTAAGCAGTGGTCTACAGGACAGAGAAGTCACAGCACCTTATTTTGCAGTACTGGGGCTTAACTCATGGCCTTCACCTTGAATCACTCTACCAGCTCTATTTTTGCCCCAGCTGACTTTGAACCGCGCAATCGTCATCTCTGCCTTCTGAGTAGCTAGGATTACAGGTGTGGACCACCAGCGCTTGTTTATTCTAAGGAAGGCTTTCTAAGGACAACACAAACTCTAGGCAATTAATCTTAAACATACTGTATGTCTATACAGTAGCCCATCAGGAGGCAGACAAGTTTTAAAGTGTTCTCCCTTGTATACTGCTGATGGGAATGTAAATTAGCATGGAGATTCCTAAAAAAAACAAAAAAACTCTCAAAGTAACCACCCATCCAGCCATACTGATCTTAGCCAGACCAGAAGGGATGCACGTCACACATGAGATACCTGCACACCTGCTTACTAGAGCACTACTCAAAATAGCCAAGCTATGGGACCAGCCTAAGTGCTCACATATATAAATGGATAAAGGAAATATATACATACACTAATTATTCATTAAAAATGTCACTTGCAGGAAAATGGATTAAATTGATTATGCAAAGGGAAATATGCCAGATTCGAAGAAAAATACCTGCTTTCTCTCCTATGTGCAAGTTAGAAGGGAAAAAAAATACAAACTGGACTATTTTTTAGGGGGGAGAACATGACAAAGCAAATTACACACCACATAAGATAATTTATAACAACCCATTTAACAAAAATTTTGCTGGGCCCTGCTGGCTCACGCCTGCAATCCTAGCTACTCAGGAGGCAGAGATCAGGAGGATAGCAGTTTGAAGCCAGTCTCAGCAAACAGTTAAAGAAACCCATTCTCAAAAATACCCTTCACAAGGGGGAGGGAAAAAAAAAAAAAAAAAAAAAAAAGGGCTCAAGGTGTAGGCCCCAGTACCAACAAAACAAACCCCCCCCAAAAACCAACAAAAAAACCCAATCGAGTTATGGGGTTAATACAATCAAAGTATATTACATGTACAGTAATATCACAAGGAATCCCCCCACATTGCATGACAGATACTAATAAAAAAAAAAACTATTAAAGAACTGATGTTCAAATGTAAAAGATCACCTCTCGAACAATCAAGCCACTATTTAAGGGTGGCCTGTCTCCAAATAACACATGGCAACTTAACTGCCCTTGCCAGATCCAAAGACTGAGTGAAGAGGTAACAGACTGAACCACTAAAAAGGAACAAGTATTCCAAAACACCACACAAAGAACCTTCAACTTAGGCAGTTTTTAATGTAAGTTGTATATAAGACTACTTTATTCTTGCATCTTCTCAATTGTTTCTTCCTTATATTTGCCCTTTTCTTTTCCAACTTGGCGAGATTTGGCTTTCCGTTCCAGGATCTTTTTTCGGTCTTTGTCCAGTTTTAGCCTGGTGATAACCACCTGCAGAAAAATAAAACACCCTCAAATTGTAAGTAATTATTAACACAAAAAAGGGCCAGTGCCCAATCCTGTTTCTCAAACCTGAGGCAGCAATGCCTAAACATGAAATAATCACTTAAGTTTAAAAAAGTACTAGTAATGATCCTTTAGCCCCCAAATCAAACCTATCTTAGATGTTTAGCAATGCTCTACAACAAAGTAGAAAAGGTAAGGCAGTATGTGTAATTCTTCTCATGGCTTCTTCTGTGCTTTTGATCTTTTTTTTTTTTCAATTATGGCTTATCTATCCCACTTCTCTCATCCCAGTTTTATAAGATAAACAAATATTTTTTTCTAAAATAACTATAGAATTTTAAGGTGGGAGCAGGGGGCATGACTCAAGTGATAGAGTGCCTGCTTAGCTAAGCATGAAACCCTGAGTTCAAACTCCAATACCACAGGGTAAAAAAGGTTGAAAATTAGTCTACACACATGCTTCAGTTTGTAAAATCTTTAGTGAAATGACAGTACAGATCTTATCCCAACAGATCTAATTCTAAAGTTGTTCTGATTATGATAAACTTTAGTCTTATAAAGTGAGGCAAGGGGGAAGAGGCCACACTGAACATAAAATATAGCATGCTGACCAAAACAAAAACTGTCATGTAGCTAATAAAATTCTAATGTACATAATTTTGATACAGAGAAAAATGAGGCTGAATGTGCACTATTTGAAGATGAGGTCATCAGGCCAAACCCAACCAATAAAGCTATATTTGCACAGAAACCTGAAGTGAACAATCTAGGTACAACTAACTGTCCCAAAGAGTACAAGAAAATCCAGGTCCAAACGCAAGATTCTGAGTTCTAGCCCCAGTCCCTCTTCTCCCACCAAAACACAAAACCAAAACCACAAAACACAGTGTGTTTCTCAAACTTGAGTATCTCTAAGAATCAACTGCAGGGCTGGGGGTTCAACCCCCAAGACTTGGCAGTTCTATGAAGTTGCCAGGTTGCTACCAACCAGCAAACATGCTGAGTGTCATGATTGTAGGAATACCAAGGAGGCCACAAATGTCGAGTAGAAAAAAGTGCTGTCAGTGTGTCTAGTGAGGGACACCAGGTGAGGTCTGATAGTTGAAATGCAAAGTGGCTACTGGGTATTGAGTCTGGAGTTCAGGGAGAGAGGTCTGGCTAGGTTGGAACTTCCAGCTTCTATATATCTGAAATTTGGAACTGGAGGTTGCAGCTCAAGTGGGAGAGCCCAGTCCCACCAAAACCAAAACCAAATAAAGCCTTAAGACTGAAACAAGGGATGAAGATGACAGCTTGATTACCAAGCCACTTAAGGATCAAAAGTGTCACATGTTGAACTAAGTTCAAAAAGACTAAGAACTGGCCACTGAACCAGTGACCATGACAATCAACTGATTGGGGGGTGGGGGGGATGGCAAAAATGCAATTAGAGAATGGAAGATTAAAGAATGGGAAAAGTCCTTGCTCTTAAGAGATACATACTGAAGTAATCAGAAGTGATGTGCCTCAATTCTCATAATTAGGCAAGGCGATGTGTCAAAATTTTAATAGAAATTTCTAGGTGAGATATGTGGATGTTTTACTGTATTTTGAAAATTAAGACACATGGCACCAACTCAAGACCTAAAATGAAAAAGCCCTAGTATATGATGCTTGTGTCCACTACCTTTACACTAAGCATAATTTAAATGTTATGTATGGCAATCAGAAATTTTCTACTTTGGTCTAGATATAACCGCTATCCATGGGGTAACCTCTGAGCTTTAGGCTTTTTCCATCTGTGAATATTTTAAACCTACTGAGTGTAAGCTGATTACTCAATTCTGCTGAATATGCAAATCAAATAGGGCTAAAGCTCTTTTGTCATTTTATAATTATTCTATTTCCCAGATTTTAAACTCTGCTAATCACTAGATTATCAAACTTACCAAAAGCTTTTGAAGGCACATTAAAACTTTGGAACAGAATTGAATAGAAATGCAGTACTGCTTTAAGACAGAATTGCTAGTACATCTAAACTTGGGGTCACACTCTGTAAACACTCTTTTCTCAAGTATTCTCAAAAACACTTACCTTGCTGGGGTGAATGCCCACATGGACTGTTGTGCCATTAGCCTTTTCCCGCTGTACCCGCTCAATGTAGATGACGTATTTCTTCCGGTAAACCTGGACGACTTTGCCAATCTGCTGACCTTTATAGTGCCCTCGCACGACCTAAATACATATTCAAAAATAGCATTTGGATCAAAGGAGCAAGATTAACCTCAAATTACAATCATACACATTCATTCTATCATCAGTTCTACAAGACCTTTCCTGTTTTTGTTTGGGTACTGAGTATGAGACCCAGGGAGATGGACATGCTAGGCAAGTGTTCCACCATTGAAATCCTGGCTTTAACTTGTACATAAATGATGCTATCTATCTACAATAGTGGACAGTGCCTCCCTACAACCAATGGCCATCACCAGTAGTAGGCTTGTTGGAAGAGCCCACTCTTGGCTTTCTGTAGGAAGTTGTCAAGAACTGTTAAAATTTCAATCACAACCCATTCAATTGTACAACCAGTGCCAGACAACAGTAGGCAAGAAGTACTTAAATGAACAAACTAACTCTTTCCCAATGGTGCTCTATCCAAGAGTCCCTAGTGGTCCCCAGCCTACCAGGAAGCAACTCAAAATGCTTCTGAATATATGCTTCCTTTCAGCTTCTGAATATCATGGAAACAGAGAGACTGCTTCTAAGGTCTACTGGCAATTTTAGACTAATAGAGCAAGGACCAATGGCTGTTCTCAACCTATATTGTTCCTACTTGGGAACTGGTTTCATTTTTTGGGTGGGGAAAGGGCAGAATTGGGGC